CACCGAGATTGCTTTTTCCCAGGGCTGGCCTACTATAACTTTTGGCGAGCTTAAGTACTACGCGGCGAGTCGTTGAGTGGTCTTGGCGATCATCAGCCTTTCTTGTCTTCAGCTTTTTCGCTCTCTTTTTTCCCGATAATGTCCTTGCCTTGCTCTTTTGCCTTCATAGCTGCAAATTAGCATTTAAACATCAATTTAGATCATAAAATAAGCATTGACGACACTAAAACTATGAATATTAAGCCCTAAATGAATTGAAATCCCAGACTCATCAACACCCCTAACTTAAACTTTATCTTGTCCTCAAGTAAAACACAAGATCAATCAGTTCAATAGAGATGTCTACAAATAGTGCTACTCAAGATTCAACATGAATGCACACAAGAGTTTCAAACTACCCATGCAATGTTCAATTGTGCACTACAAGTTTCAAATTGTGACTAGCCATCATGAAAAAAAACTCAAGCTTACAATGCTTGCTTCAAATGCAAATTCAAGCTCAACAAAAGTATTTGAATGCCCTCACACCAAGAACGATTACATGCTCACACAAGGCTCATCTAAATTTCAAAATTAAGTAATCAAAAACAACTCTCACACTCTCAAAGACAAACACATACATGACTCTACCCATAGACTTGCTCGTATTTTCCAACCAACGTGACTTTCAGCTCACTCAAGATCACAAAGGTCTTTCAAGGCTTGTAACGGGGTTGAGGGTAAAGGTATGATCATTTTGGCTTAGTGACTTCTACCTTCATGAAGCATGTCCTACATTTCACTTTTTCTCCCTTTCTTTTAATCTCTTTGAGTTTTCACAATCCACCCTATGTTCTTTTAACCATGACTCCTTGGACACCCCATTTATTTTCTCCGTTGTACAAACTTTATTTCAACAATTATTTTCTTTTTCGATCTTTTTCTTTCGCTTTTCTTCTTCTTATTTTTTATATGGAGGGGTTCCATCTTTTTCAACATGATTCCTCAAGGGCGAATTTCTCAAACATCTTGACTTTCCTCCCTTTTTTCCACACCTGGCCTAAGTTGGCTTATTCAAAAGGACCAATGCTTCATGAAGATTTTAGGTGGAAAGGGAAAAAGGTCAAATGTGCTCAAGTTTCATCCAAAGAAAAGGATAGGCTTAAACGGTACCAAGCAAGGTTAACACTCTCACAAGGTGGTCACAAAGAGGTATAATAGCAATTTTGGTTCACTCTTCACAAATTGTGTCTAAGATCATCTCTATCATTCGCTTACATTAGTCGATTGGACTAACGGGGAAAGTTCTAGGTATTTTCACACACACATTTCAAGATAACCTCACCACACATGGCACTCAACACAATCATCAAACAAGACTCTATTATTTTAGCTCATGTGCAATGATCATTACAAGATTCATTTCAACAACCGGCTAGTCGCAATGAGATGTTAAGAGTTCACATATGACTTATGAAACTCAAATTTACCTCATTGGAATCGCAAACACATATCATTCAATGGAGAGCACTATTCAAGTCATCGGCATTGATCACAACCGATACTCAAATTTGCTAGAGAATAACCAATTCACAAATATCAAGAGGTGACAAAATTTTTGTTTGAGTCGAAAACCAACACATTCACATTAAAAACCAATGGATCCAAAACCAATAGTCACAAATAAAGTCAAGCATTCATAACAAGCAACAATATCGATAAAAATAGCCCAAAAGAGGTAGGTATGAATATACATCACCCCACCAAACAAACCTAACATTGTCCTCAATGTCAAAATAAACGTAAAGGCAGAACTAATAAGGAATGATCATTACTGAAAGGAATAGGGTAAGAAGAACTCTTCACTTCATGCCCAATCGACGATAGTTGCTTGAGACCGCCTAACCTTTCGGCGAACCGCCAAGCTGAAACTAGCTCGCTAAAATTTCCAAAATGTTGGCCCTCTAGTTGGGACAAAATGGTGGGTTAAATTGGGCTCGCCAAACCATTCGGCGAACCGCCGAACAGTCTTACATCTCACCGAAATTTCCATAATGGTGGTCCTCTAGTCCGGACCAAAAGGTGGACTAAATCGGGCTCGTCGAACCACTCAGCGAACCGCCGAAAGGGTTCTATCATCGCTCAATCACTAGTCCCTGCACATTTAACAAACGTTAATAAAAACCAACTAAAAGTTGGATTGCCTCCCAAGAAGCGTCTTATTTAATGTCATGGCACGGCATGGAAATGCTCTTATGCATCTTCCAAATACACCACTTCAATTACCGATATTTCTTGGCATTCTCTAAAATAGAGCTTCAGACACTGCCCATTTACTTTGAATGTTGATCCTTCTTTACCTTCAACTTCAATTGCCCCATTTGTGAACACTCGAATTACTTTGAATAGGCCAAATCACTTCGATTTGAGTTTATCTGGGAAAAGTCTCAAACGAGAACTACACAGCAAAACAAAATTACCTACTCGGAACTCTCACTAAAGGATTTTAGCGTCATGCCACTTCTTCATTTTCTCCTTATAAAGGGCTGAACTTTCATATGCCTTCAACCTGAACTCCTTCAATTCATGGAGTTGATTGACTCTCCCTTTCGAAGCATTTCCCTAATTCAAAATTAACTCCTTCAACGCCCATAGTTCTTTGTGTTCAAGCTCGTTTGGTAGGTGACACGACTTTCCAAATTCCAGTTGGTATGTCGACATGCCGATTGGTGTCTTAAAAGTTGTGTGGTATGCTGAAAGGGCATTATTCAACTTCCGAGACCAGTCAGTCCGATTTGCATTAACTATTTTTGCCAGAATACACTTGATTTCTCGATTCGACAGTTCAACTTGGCCATTTGTCTATGGATGATAAGGCGTTGCAACTTTATGCTTGACTTCGTATTTGCCCAACAGTGCGGTAAACAACCAGTTGCAAGAATGAGACCCTTTATTACTAATAATAGAATGTGGGGTCCCAAACCTTGTGAAAATGTATCGTTTCAAGAACTGCACCACACTTTTTCCTTCATTATTGGGCAAATCTACAGTCTCTACCCACTTTGAGACATAATCAACCGCTACCAATATATACTTCTTTTCGAAGGAGCTCACAAACGGTACCATGAAGTCGATTCCCCACACATCAAATAGTTCGACCTCGAGGATGGGGTTAAGAAGCAACTCATGCCTTCTTAATACACCTCCTTACTTTTGGCATTGTATGCATTATTTAATGAAACCAAAGTATCTTGGTATAGTGATGGCCAATAGTAGCCACTTTGAAGCACTTTGGCGGCTGTTCGCACCCCGCTATGATGACCACCCACAGGTGAAGCGTGGCAAGCATTAAGAATTGCATTGACTTTCTTTTCTGGTACGCATCTTCAAATTTTATGATTTGTGCATCCTCTAAATAGATATGGTTCATTCCAGAAGTACCTCTTTACATCAAACAAGAATGTATTTTGTTTGTAGAAGTTCAAGCCCTCGAGTATTATCCCACACACTACATAGTTATTGAAGTCAGCATACCGAGGTGAGTTGCCTTAGGTTACCCTCATCACTGTTTAATCAGGAAATTCAGCCATAATGTCCCTCTCATTGGAATCAACCAAGTTGGTTTCTAACCAAGATAAATGATCTGCCACTTGGTTCTCACACCTTTATCGATCCTTTACCTCAAAATTAAACTCTTCTAACAGCAACACCCACCAAATAAGTCTTGGCTTTGCGTTTTTCTTAGCCATCAAATATCTAATGGCAGCATGATTCGTGTGCACCACCACTTTAGTTACCAACAAATATGCTCTGAATTTCTCAAATGCATACACCACCGCTAGTAATTCTTGCTCCGTGACTGTATAATTCTTTGAGCCACATTCAGTGTTTTACTTTCATAATAAACCGGATGGAATAGCTTCCTTTTTTTTTACCAAGAACAACCCCCAAAGCAACACCACTAGCATCACACATGAGTTCAAATGGGATATTCTAATCTGGGGAAATAATGATCGAGACTGACACTAATTTTTCTTTCAAGCACAAAATCGCTTTGAGGCAAGCGTCATCAAAATGGATGGCAGATTCCTTCTCTAGCAATTTACAAAGAGGGTGAGCTACTTTGGAAAAATCTTTGATAAACCGCCTGCAGAAACCCGCATGGCCTAGAAAATTTTGGACACCTTTTACTGAAATAGGAGGAGGAAGCTTGGCAATGACCTCAACTCTCGCTTGATCGACTTGCATTCTTCTCCTGAAATTTTATGCCCCAGAACAATTCCCTCATTTACCATGAAATGACACTTCTCCCAATTTAGAACTAGGTTGGTTTCCACACACCTTTGTAGTACCTACCCAGGGTGTTCAAGGAAGGCTTCAAATGAATCACCAACAACTGAAAAATAATCCATGAATACCTCTATTGAGTCTTCCACCATATCTGTGAAAATAGAAAGCATACATTGTTGGAATGTTTCCAGAGCATTACACAACCCAAAAGGCATCCTCTTGAAAGCAAAAGTCCCATAGGGACATATAAAAGTAGTTTTCTCTTGAACTTCCGGTGCAATGGAAAAATGGTTGTATGCAGAATAACCATCCAAAAAGTAGTACCATCCACGCCCCGCAAGCCTATAAAGCATTTGGTCCATAAATGGCATTGGGAAATGATCTTTCTCGGTCCATGCATTTAATTTTTGGTAGTCCATCCATACTCTCCAACCAGTGACCAGCCTCATAGTTACAAGTTCCCCTTTCTCATTTGGAACCACTGTGATGCTTCATTTCTTTGGTACACATTGCACGAGACTTACCCATTTGCTATCCGCAATAGGGTACACCACGACTGCATCTAACAAATTGATGATTTCTTTCTTCACCACTTCTTGCATAGGCAGATTTAGCCTTCTTTGATGCTCAACACTTTGTTTGCATTCACTATCCAATTGGATTTTATGAGTGCAAATCCCATGGGGAATACCTACAATATTAGCAATTATCCATCCTATGGCCTTAATGTATCACTTTAATACCTCAACAAGCAATTTCACTTGCAACTCAAGCAAGTATGCTGCAATGATGATGAGCAAGGTATTGTTTGCTCCTAAGAATACATACCGAAGATGAGATGGGAGCACTTTCAACTCAAGCTTCGGAGGTTCTTCCGTGGATGGTTTAGCGGGGGGGGGGGTATCTCTATTTCTCAGATCAATATTGAGCTTCAGTGGATTTTTTGAATGAGAACCTAATCCCGATAGAGCAGTCACAACTTCATCATACCCTTGAACTTCGTCCTCATCATAATTTGAAAGGACAACATCAAGGGGTTGGGGTTCACCAGTACACATCATTTCACTCACACTAGCTACTGCTTCATCAATCACATAAATTGTTGAGACCACATGAATGTCACTAGGTTGATTCATCGATTTGCACACATAGAACGTAATCTCCTCATCATTTACCCAGAACTTTAAATCACCACTTTCAACATCCACAAGAGTTCTTCCGGTTGCCAAAAATTGTCCACCTAAAATAATAAGTACTTCGGCATCAATGCCACAATCCAAAATAACAAAGTCAGCCAGAAATATGAACCTATCAACTTTCACAAAAATATCATAAAGTATGACAATGGGAAGCTTAATAGATCGATCACCCATTAGGAGTCGCATTGTGGTAGACTTAGGAACACCCAATACAAGTTGTTTGTAAATGGCGTATGGCATCAAGTTAATACTAGCCCCCAAATTACATAATGCTTTGGAAAATTGGAGCATCCGAATAGTGCATGGAATAGTAAACGCCCTCAGATCAGCTTTCTTGATAACCACATTGCTTGTCATTATGGCACTAGACCTATGAGACACTTCAACTATTTCAAATCCATACTCCTCTTCTTGGTGACCAATTCTTTCATGAACTTTGCATAGCTGGGCATTTCCAACAACACTTCCACTAACCGAAGATTTATTGACAGATACTTGTACACGGATAGAAATTTCTTGAACTTTGCATCTTCATCCCGCTTTTTGAGTCTTTGAGGAAATGGTGGGTTGATTTTGGGCAACAGTTTTACTGACTTTGAAGAAGAAGCAGCCCCTTCCTTGGGTAATTGCAGTTCCTCGGTGTTGCTTTTCCTTGGACTTCCTTCAATCTCTTGGGGCGTGTCATTCTCCGGTGCTTGTTCGGACCCTTCTACATCAATGGCGCCCTCTTCTTCTCTACTAGTGTTTGCCTCAACATTCACCTTCACATCACCACCTTCTACTTTCCACTCCAGGTCAAAACTGCTAAGCACCTGTTATGATCAGCCTTTGAATTCGTCATATCATTATTTGCACACTTTTTTAATGGCTTGGAGTCTAATTGGGCTGAAAGTTGACTCATTTGACATTTGAGTCGCTTGATAGATTCCAAGTGAGAGTTTACTTTATTATTCAAGGATGAGAAATCATCCTTGATTTCTTTAAGCATGTCATCAGATCTTTCGACCTTTTCTAGGATGCGCGATAGAAAATCATCCACTCGAAGGCTTCCCAATCATCCCCTAGATTTTGGGTTGTCACCCATTTGCATGCAACACGCATCATAGTCGTCTTCTCTCCTCCAAAAGTCATTTTGGTCAGCCCAATATCGATTGTAACTTCTCCATCCATCCTCAATAAGTGTGTTCCAACCTTGATTCCCACCCGACATCTAAGAGCCCGGGTAAGAACCCTCTTCTATTCTTGACACCTTTTGCACCTTATTGTTTTCAGAAATACTCCCCATGACTTGTTCATTTAGCAACACCTTTTGGGACATCATCTTGGCTATGTTTTCATCTCGTTCTTGGTTTTTTTCTACTTGCTCTTTTGTCAACCCAAAATTCAAGGGAGACACTTGATCTTCTTTATTGTACCAAGCACGATTGATATTTGTCATTTCATCGAGAAGAGTGGATACTATAGAATACGGTTATTACATGATTCCTTCTCGAACAAGCAGGTCAGCCACCCCTTTGTTGACGAAGTTGAGACTCCGATAGAAGTATTGTAGCAACACATTGCTCGAGAGTCCATGAGTTGGACACTTCAGCAACAACTTCTAGAACTTCAACCATGTTTCATGAATTGGTTCCCCATCTACTCGCTTAAAGTTCAACCATGTTTCATGAATTGGTTCCCCATCTACTCGCTTAAAGTTCTGAATATGATCCCTCTATTTCACCATCTTCGAGGGAGGGAAAAACTTTACATCGAATGTCTTGGTGAGTTCCTCCCAAGAAGTGATTGATTCTCTTGGTAGCTCAGCCAACCACTTTGTTGCTTCCCCATTAGGGAAAAGGGAAACAAACGAAGTCGGATCGACATATGTGTGATGTTCTCGAAGACAAATGGACCACAAAAGTCCACAAAGTTTCAGATGTGCTCATGGGGATCCTCATGATCCAGCCCTCTAAATAAACCCTTCATTTGCAACAGCTGCAACATAGTGCTCATCACCTGAAATATCGCATTGCCCACAACCCGGGGCAATCCAATAGCACTCGCACTTCCCAATAGATCATCATTGACATCGTGCAAGTTACGGACGTCATCATTATGTCCAAGTTGGCTAGCATTACTCCCGTTAATGCTCATTTCGTCACAAGTTTAAGAGCAGCCAACAATAAACAAAAGTAAAATAAGTTGATTCAACTACAAACAAGATTAGATCACAACTAAACTTCACTAAAAGAATTTTAAACCACTCCCCGGAAGCGGCACCATTTTTTATAACGCTCAACTACACTTCATCCAATTCTAAGTGTAGGCGATCACAATCTAGTATAAACTCAACAAGTTGGGGTCGATCCCACACAGAGTGATACGGTAGAGAATTCAATTATGAAGTAAAGGAAGTGTTATAATCAGTTGTAGAAGTAGACATTATCGAAACAATTAAAGTAAATTGCAAGGGTTGATAACTAGTGTCAAATGAGAGGATTAGATTGAGCAATTAACAACTACGAAAATAGGGGAGTAGTCAAGTAGAGAGGGATCCTGGGGGATGTGATCGATTAAATGTCAATTTCGCTATACGGGTGATTATCATTTACTAAAAGACGTTGAATCTTGGTGGGTAGGATAAAATTTAGGTGCAACATCCATCTCTCAATCAACTACCACGATTCAAGGGAGTTCTCTCATACCTCAACAAGCATAACACTAAGAACAACCCAAAACCTCAATTAATCTACTCTCTCGAGCTAGATTGGTAGGATCGAATTCAAATTCACTTTTTTAAGCTGAATCAAGAATAACCCAATCACTACAATCATCAAATGATAGTTTTAATTTGAAACCTCTTTCTTAAGCAAGCATCGAATACTAAACTCAAATTGTATTTGCAATTACAATTCATCAATTAAAACTCAGATATCAATTGAACCCACTTCAAATCAATAATTAAATCAGTAAATACTAATATCCATAAGCTAATTGAGACAAATTAATCATATAATTAGACCCCAATAATGGGGGTTTTAGCCAAACATTGTAAAAAGCACGAAAATGTTACCTATTAAGTCCTGTATCAGCTCAGTAACAAACTGCAGGTCTTCACAATGCTCAAAAATAGTTCAAAATCAAAATCCAACTATAAAATCCTACTCAAAAACTCCAAGAAAGTGTTAGGGACAAAAAACCCAATGTAAGAACTTTCAAACACTCAGAAAGTTTGCTCAAAATTTGGGGACTCTGAAACTCTTTTAAAAAATCGCATTTATAGTTTCCCAGATTTTTGTCTTTGGATTCGTTCGGCGAAATTAGTCGAGCATCGCCGATCTAGTTGGCGATGCACAAAATGTCCATGTTCAACGCCTTTTTGACTTGATTCTTCACCTTTCCTCTTTTGTAACTTTAGGTGATCAGGATCTCCATTGCCGATCCAGGCGATGCTTCACCGAAAGTCCATTTCCATCACCGAGTTGGCTTTTTCCCAGGGCTGGCCTGCTGTAACTTTCGTCGAGCTGAGTTACTACTCAACAAGTCACCGAGTGGTTTTGGCGATCATCAGTCTTTCTTGTCTTCAGCTTTTTCAGCACTTTCATTCTTTTTGCCCGATAATGTCCTTGTCTTACCCTTTTTTCCTTCATAGCTTCAATTTAGCATTTAAACATCAGTTTAGAGCATAAAATAAGCATTGAGGAGACTAAAACTATGAATATTAATCCCTAAATGAGTCGAAATCCAGACTCATCAAAGATTCACTACCATTTCCTCCTTGAGGCTTAGGGTTAGACACCCTATCTTTGTTGAACTTAGAAAGAGCATTGGAGGAACCTTGGCCGAAAAACTTTTGTCGAAACATAGAACAACCATGCCTATCGAACCTTGAATGTGAGAAGTTGTCATCACCAATCTTAGACCTCTTTGCCTCCCTTGAACGTTCCTTAAGTTTCTCATCTTTGATTTGTTGAGCATGAACCATGAGACGAGAAATATCCATATCATTGATAAGCATAGCGGTACGGCATTCCTTAACTACCATCTCGGACACACCCAAAACAAATTTACTCATCTTTGCCCTAGGATCGGCAATCATAGTAGGAGCATATCTAGACAATTGTGTGAACTTCAAAGCATATTCCTTCACACTCATATTTCCTTGATGGATGTTGATGAATTCAAGCATTTTCGCCTACCTCATTTCAAGGGGATAGAACATATCAAGGAAAGCAACCTTAAACTTTTCCCAATCAAGAGGACCCGCATCAACTGCCCTCTCTTCCTTCCATTGGTTGAACCAAACTTAAGCAACACTCTTAAGTTGTTAAGCGGCCAATTTTGCCTTTTCCACTGGTGTCACTCCCATGATCATTAACACCTTATATACTTCATCAATAAACTCTTGAGGATCTTCCTCAACCTTGGACCCATGAAAATTTGGGGGATTCATTCTAGTAAAGTCCCTCACTCTAGATATCGCCGTACCCACATTTGGGTTCAGTGGGGCCACAACCCCCTATTGGCTTGAGATATCATGACTTGAGCCAACACTTGAAAATCAGCCCTAAACTCCGCATTAGTCAGTTGCACGGCCAAAGGGTCGACCAAAACTTGAGGATCTTAAAGAGCTTATCATTCCACATTCTTATTCACATTCCGCCTAACGTAAACTCTTAGAGGGGCTATATCCTAAAAAGCACCGAATAAGGATTAGAAGAAAGACATATAGAGTTACACCTATCGCATGACTTTAGAGTAAAGAAAGAAGTTGAGTTTCCTAATAATCTTATAGTCTCTCATTCATAAATGTGGAGCGCTTCACACTCATGAACAAGACTCTACTCGACGTGGCTTATGAGACTTCCTATGGCCATTCTAAACCTTGTGCTCTGATTACCAAGTTTGTCACAACCCAAGGTGGCTCCTAGGCATAACATGGTGTATAGGACCCCGAGAGGCCCCATACAAGCCACGTAGTATTCATCATACAAGAAAATAGAATAAAGAGATTAAAAGACAGTTTCAACATATAAGAGTTTTATAGAGAGAAGAAAAAATCTAAACATCATCTCAAAACCATCTAGTACATGAGTATATCGGGGCGTAGCCTGTACATCAAGTTCCAAAACTGAAAGTAAAGACAAAAAGGGAATCAAGCTCGGTCCTCGGAATATGAGGACTCACCAAACTTAAATCTTCTATATGAGAAGTGTGAATCTGTAAGGTCGGTCCCTACATTTGGGGAAATGTAGGCAAGAGTATATATGCATTAGTATAAAATATGTACCAAGTATGATAGTCATGCATAAAATATTAGAAAACATGAAAAAAGGACATTTTCATAAAGTGCAATGACCAAGGTAAATCATGAA